TGTAGACAGCTGCAATCTCAGTTACTACAAATTCATATTACTGTTCTATCCTGTCATTATGTCCAAACATGAATTAGAGGCCACCCTAAGCCTTAGCAAACCTAGCTACGAGCAGCTGACATTCTTTTCTCGTTGAGAAGGAAAAATGAGTCAAAGCCTTCTCACTTTTGCAGCACCTTTTCCACCTTGTATCTCCTATTCTTCTGAAGTATCAAATAAATATGCTTTCCTTTTTTCCTTTAGATACTGCTGCCACTTCATATTTGAGAAGTGAGGTTTCTCTTTCTTCCTTGACTAAAAATTGTTCTCCAATGAGCAAGCAAAGAAACAATTCAATCAGGATAAAGAGCATGCTTTATTTTTTTTTTAAGTTTTTTATTTGTTACTTTTCTACTGATAATGTTCTAAATCGGGAATAAAAAAAAAAATCTAAAAAAACTAATGAACAGAAAGGATTTTATGAATAGGAGCACTAAAAGAAAATTTGTTTATTAGGAAGTCACCTGAACTAGTATACTCCATTACACTTTTACACCTTAAGAGAAATCTCTAGGGTGTGGAGTACTTTTTGAGTAATGAATAAGTGATCCAAAAAGAACCTGGAATTCTTGGCTACTCATTCTAGCTCTGATGAGTGTACAGCTTGCCTTTCTTAAAAATTTCTTCTTTATAAATGAAGCACAAGAGCAAATATATATAAATCATTTTTCAGTTATATTGTGTTAAATTATTAATTTCTCATCTATTTGCATGACCTGTATAATGTCCTCACTGAAATACAAGAAGGCAAAGGAAACCTTTAATTTAGGTGATTCTTCTAACAACCTACTATTTACACAGTGATCTCAGCTGCAAGGAACAAACCCTTCTTTTAGTTTAATACTCAAAGTTTAAACCCACAGTCGGATTTAGTGGTGGGTGAAAAGTTCTTTATTGAGCTAAAGGAACTTATCTTTTACATATTTATCTGTCTCTTTTCCCATGATAACCATGGACCCATTTTATCCATTAATACTGCCAAAAATGGTATGCAGGTATCACTCATGAACACCCACAAATAAAGAACAAAATTACACATGCATAAAAAGTAATACTACATTCTGATGGCACTCGGGAGAGCAGCATCAATGTGAGGTCTCCCCAGAATTTACACAATATCACTGAGTACCCATCTGCTATCTAACTGAAACACCTGAACAACTGAGCAAGTTTTATTTGACATGATCATCCCTTCTGACTAATCTCTGTTAAACAAAACATGAGACAACAGTGTTTGGTGCAATATGATTTGAGTATCTGATTCTGACCTATTGTGTAGAATCTGTCAAACTGTTACTTTTGCTTTTTCTCAAGTTCTCTTTTTAACTCTATTTTTTATAGTTAAAGTTAGTGTATTTAAAATTTAAAGCTATTTTATGACTATTTAGATTTTCTACAGTGTGTATGAGCTCTTTATGATCCACTTAAGAGCTACAGTGAGCTTTGCTTGGATATTTCCATCCATTTACCCATGTATTGGCATGAACATCAAAATGCCAAAATGTATTTACTGAGAGGAACTTGTTATCTTTTACTGATGCACACAAAATCATAGAAACTTAGAATGCCAGAAGACACCACCAGAATAATTTCATTTCCATGTTTACGAGCTAAACCTAGAAGCATGGCTCTCTTCCCTCTCACATGCTACACAGCTGATATATCCCAAGTATAATCTCAGCTCTTCAATTTACCAGCAGCTGTGGTCACTTCAAAGCAACATAAATAATTTCAGAAGTACCATACACAAAGTCAATGGGCTATTTAAAAAATGCTGCAAGTACAGAGGTAAGGACCTAGACACATATACAGAACAGAGCAATGAAAATACCTCCTCTGAATTAAGGTTACATCATAAAAGCTTAGATCTGTAGAGACATATTGATAACAAAGCTTATCAAGAATACAGGGCATTGCATTAAATTACATCAACACTGGCATAGCAGATATCTATATTGGATGGGTATTAACTGATTTTGAGGTTATACATAACAGACATAACCCTTCTACATATTCATTGTCAAAAAACATTACTCCTGCTCCAGACAAATACATCCAAAATGTTTTGCACAGCTCACTTTACTGAGTTTCAACAGAAAACAGAGTACCTTTACAGCAGAAATTATCAAAATGTCATTTTGCTTTCACCAAAGCTATATACCTTTAGTTTTCATCAAAGAAAAGGGAGACTGTTTATTGCACATTTTGCATCACCTGAAAAACCTTGCAATTACATCCAGAGAGCTTGTTTCATGAATGTAATTATTTTCTTTATTCTGCAAGAAAAGGAAATAGTTTACAACATCCGTAGTAAAAGGATAAGGTAGGAAAGGGTTCTTCTTGCCCTTCTTGAAGGTAGGAGTGACATTTGCTTTCCTCCAGTACTTGGGCACTTCCCATAGTTGTTGTGATGTATCAAAGATTGTTGAAATAGGCCTCACAGCTGCCAGCTCCCTCAGCACTGAATGGGTGCATCCCATCAGGGTCCATGGCCTTCATTATTTCCATTTTGCTTAAGTATTCCTCCTCCACCAATGCCAAATCCCTTCTAACCTCAACCATGCCATGATTCTATGTTCTCTCCAAAAAGCCAGAGAGGCTCTTTAAGTCATAAGAGCACTACATTCAGAGAAGGAAACAGATCATGATTGTGTAGTAAAGGCCATGGTAAAAGGAGATAAGGAAGCAGAGAGAGTGATCAATATTACCGAAGATACAGTGGGGAATGCAAATACTGGAGAGGTTCTGCTTTTTATGAGATTGTTGAAGATGGCTGTTAGTCCTCCTGCAGGAGGAGGGTTCAGTCTACTGTTCACAGTTTATAGCAGTTTACTAGTGCAGAACTCAGGATACAATCCTTTACTGAATGGAGAACTCTGTAGAGCCAGAGGGGACACCGCAAGCAGATGCTACTGCTCTGACAAAAGAAGCAGGTCAAGAAACTGATCAAGCAACAGTTCAAGGACCACTTTTGGAGAAAAGAATAGGATGAAAAGTGAAAAATGTGAGGGATAAAGGAAATAAAAAACTTGCCACGTGAAAAGCACAGTTGAGGAGTTCACAAGTATGGTGAGAGAAAATGACCCCGAGAAAACTATCATAACTCAGTGACTGCTGCACAGATGACTACAGCCTTTTGTGTAGCTGATAAGCAGTGAGACAGAGAGTGAGAAAAAGAAAAAATTGATGAGGAGTCCAAGTGTAGAGATGGTCTGTGAAGGAAAAGTGATGGACACAATGAGACCTCCTAATAAGAAAAAGCAAAAGAAGAAACACTGGAAACCATTGCAGTCTACAGCTTCCTCACAAGGGGAAGCAGAGGGCAGGCACTGATCTCTCCTCTCTGGTGACAAGTGACATGATTTGAGGGAACAGCATGAAGCTATGTCAGGGGAGGTTTAGGTTAGATATTAGGAAAAGGTTCTTCACCCAGAGGTGAAGAGGCACTGGAACAGCCTCCACAGGGAAGTGGGCACTGCACCAAGCCCGTGAGAGTTCAAGAAATTTTTGGACAACAGCTGGCAAGCAGGTTTCGAGGCACTGCTGGAGAATATTTTGTTATTGCATGGCAGTTCACAGGAAGAATAGCTCTGGGTAACCAAAACACACAGCTTCCCAGAGGAAACAAAGATGGAATGGATGAATTTTGGTGCAGTAACTGTAAAATGGTATCATGTTCAGCACATAAAGCAGGAGGAGGGAGGAGGACATGCAGTGACAGTGTTTGTCTTCCCAAGTAACCATTACGCATGATGGAGTCCTGCTTTCCTGGGAATGGCTGAACACCTGCCTGGCCATGGGAAGCAGTGAACGAATTCCTTGTTTTGTTTTCCTCTTGTGCACAGCTTTTGCTTTACCTATTAAACTGTCTTTACCTGTACCCAGGAGTTTTCCAACTTTTACTCTTGCAATTCTCTCCCCCTTGCCCCTGACAGAGGAATGGGACGACAGCTGCCTGGCATTTGGTTGCTGCCTGTGGTTAAACCACAGCACCGCCCCATCCACTGCCGCTGGCACTTGCCCACAGTGCCAGGTCCCTCTTTGCTTCCCAAGTCTGCCATGCCTCTGGAAGCTGGTGCACCTGGACAGCTGTTGCACTGGTGCTCCTCAAAAACACCTCTGTGGGAGCCTCATCCCATAGATGCAGGAAGGAGCTGTAGTTGTTGTCCCTTCAGAGCAGCGTACAAGGGCAGCGTACAAGAAGACAACTTTCTCACTGCTCCAAGAAGACCAGGATCCATCACCACATGGAATGTGTGGTGCCATCAATTGTTCTCTTCAGTGAGAAAGAGAGGAAAGGGAGTGGGAAGAGAAAGTGGAAAAGAGAGAGAGGAAAGGAAGAAGGGAAGGAGGGAGAGAGGGGGGGAGGAATCATTCCGTAAGCCAGATACTTCCTGACTTCGAGAGTCAACCAAGGGCTCAGCTAAGAAGTGTCTTCTGTGAAGCACATTTCTTCATGCAGGTGTAGCTCTTCAGGGAGCATCAAGGCCACTTTTTCTTTTGCCAGAGCTAATCTGCTCTGAGTGCTGTGACCAGTCACAGTGCTCTGGTTATCCCTACAAAGTGGTGTTTGGATTCAGAGAAGCTAGGCTCTGAAGCCCCAGTTCCCTGTACCCTGGAAGGGTCATTGTCCTTTCAGTGACTTGGCCTGTCATGACTGGCTAGGGTAGGAGCTGTCCCTCCTGTTCCCTTGGCCACAGAGAAAGGCATTGCAGGGAGCAGCATGTTCAGTCTGTCTGCACACAGACACCATCAGCCTTTATTTGTCACATTCTCCTATGTAAATCCACTGCTCCTTTTTCATTCAGAACCTCTTCATTTGTTGTGGTTGCAGCAAGATTTCCTGCAGGAGAAGGTACTGCTGACAGGACCCTGGGGGTCTGCAGAGCCTTGGACTGTGGAGGGTCATAAAGTCAGGGACAGGCCCCAGGATAAGGGGGAGAAGGCAGCACCAGCAACTCTTTCAGGGAAATAGCAATTTATTTCCTTTCTCTTGAATAAATACTTGCTGGAGCCCTGCTAGTGCTGCTGCCAGAGCGGCTCCTTACACAGCTGTGGGAGTCCTGGTGGGCAGGAGCCCTTCTCTTCCGGGGGTGTTGGGACCGCCCATGAGAGCAGACCCTGCCTTGGCTGGAGGTGGAGGCTCTGCAGTTGCTGCCCTGGGCAGAAGAACCTGCTGCCTCTACCTCCCCCAGCTCCTCCTGCAGCTGCACTTGCTCTGCAGACAAGGACACAGAGAGGGGACAGCCAGTATCCCTGCAGAAGGTGGCTTGTGAGGTGCTGGGTTGGCTCTCTGTATCAGAGCCAGCAAGGCTGCTCGCAGGGGCCATAGAGGAGGCAGGACTTTCCCCCCAGAAGCTACTGGAGCTGGCTGCAGGGCTATTGGTCTCCCTGCCAGCGTGGAATCTCAGTAGTCTCTGGGCCTCTGTGCTGCACCTGTACATGATGACATTGATAAGGCCATAGACCAGCGGTGCTGTATATCCCTCAAGGACAGGCTGCAGCATCTGGAACAAGACCTTCCCATCCAGACCACAGAGGCACAGGACCTGCAGGATGCAGCCTTCTGCATTCTTTGCCAGCCACCACTGGGACCCATATATCGCTTCCAGTCTTTGACATAGCCAGGGCAGCACAGGGTCCAGAAGATGCTTTTGTCCTTGGAAAAGTTCTGCCCAGACCTCAGGCAGGAGGCCACCCACAGCCTCTGGCCATCCAGCTCTCTGCTGAGCTGGGGACAGTGTCCCATGTGGAAAAGATGTTGGGAATGGCGCAGGGCCATGGGGACTGTTTTCGGCCATGTGGCTGGGAGCTGTTCCTGCCTGGCTGCAGACCTCTGGCAATTCTCTGGAGGGAGTGACAAGACACTGTAGATAGTCATCTTCTTCACGTACAGAAAACCTGACAATCAATATCGTTCTGCTGCAGACTGGGCACACTGGTTTCCTGTCTGTCCAATGCATGATGCAGCCCAGGCAGAACTGGTGGCCACAGGGCATCGCATAAGCAGCATCCTCATGACCATCATGGCAAATGGGGCAGCTCCACTCAGTCTCTGTGGGCCTGTCTGTACTCCATGAAGAGTGCTGGGGCCTGGAGGCCCTCCCTTCTGGGAGGTGCTGGGGCCCTCTAAGTGAGTGTTCCCAGCCCTGACAAGGAGTAGCAGGATTGCAGCTGCTCTTGTGGGAAGAGGAACTTGCCACCACTGCCTCCCCCTGCTCCTTCTGGGGCTGCACCTGCTCTGTAGGGATGGGCACAGATGGGTGGATGATTCGGAGGGCACAGAGGGCAGCTTCTGTTGTGCTGGGTTGGTCCTCCATGTCGGAGCCTGCAGGGCTGCTGGCAGGGCTTGGGGGCCAAGTGGAAGTGCCTCCTTGGGAGCTGGTGGAGCAGGAGCTGGCCTCAGGGCTGTTGTCCTCCTCCCCAGCAGCATGGGAGTGCAGCAGCCTCTGGGCCTCTTCGCTGCACTGACCCACAATGATGCTGATGATGCCATCAACCAGCTGTTTTGTACATTGCTCAAGGAGAGGCTGCAGCATCTGGAACATGACCTCCTCGTCTGGACCCCAGAGGCACAGGGTGTACAAGATGCTCTTCTCTGCTCTCACTGCCAGCCACCATCGGGACCCAAATATTGCCTCCAGCCTCTGGCGCAGCCAGGGCAGCACAGGGTCAAGGAGATGCTCCTTTTTTTTGAAGAGCTGTGCCCAGACCTTGGGCAGGAGGCCAGCCACGGCCCCAGTCCCTGCAGCCCCCTGCTCAGCTGGGGAGAGTGTCCACTGTGGAGAAGAGGGAGGGGACCCTGCAGGGCGATGGCAGCTGTTTCCATCCAGGAGGCCAAGAGCTCCTTCTGCTTGGCTGCTGCCCTCTGGTGATTCTTCAGGGAGTGTGATGACACACTCCAGATACTTTTGTTCCTGCAGAGAAAACCTGACAGACTCTATCAGTCTTCTGCACAGTGGGCACTCTGGTTTCTTCTCAGCCCAACGCAGGATGCAGCCCATGCAGAATTTGTGGCCACAGGGTATCACATAAGAGACACCCTCTTGCTCATCATGGCAGATGGGGCAGCTCCACTCTGTCCCCATGGCCCTGTCTGTTCTCCTTGGCAACTCAAGGAGTCCTGAGAAGCTGCTCCCCATCGCTGACACTACAAAAGGCTTTCACACACTGCAATGAAATGGAGAAAACATGGTCCCTTGCTGTCCTGGGGAGCCCCTGCAGGGCTGGAGGAACAGTGGCAATGGCTCTGCAACTGGCACCGGGAGCCAATGATGGTAGGCCCCAGCACACCCCCTGGCACCAGGACAAGCCTCTCTCAGCCCTGCAGATTTCACAGACATGCTTGGCAGAAGTTCAGATGCAAGTAGATTGAATCAGGTTCTGCCTGTATCTAAAGCAGTGATAGATGTGAAGTCACAATCTACTCCTGGTGACATCACAGTCCACTGCCAAGTGACAGTACCTGGTGACATCACAATGGGACACCCAGCCCTGGGGCACTCACACCAACACAGCATGTCAGAGGCCACCTTCCGTGTGTGTCCTGGCTGACCTTCAAACATACTCCAAAACCCATCTCTGCAGTGATACTGACCTTTGTTACACTTGTTTTTACATTAACGCATAGGTCTTTTTACCCACCCTGATTAAATGAACTCTAATTGGTCTTCAGGTTGCACTGCACATTATTAAACAAACAAGCAAACAAACAAACAAACAATCAAAATGTATGGCATTCCCTTCAGATGGGAAGGTGATTCTTTAGATATGATATTTTCCTGCTGACAGGTGATCCGGACAGCAGTAGGGTCTATGCTTGCAAGTACTTTCACATGTAATTAATTTAAAATAAAAACCCTTCGTTGTCCTTTTTACTGAAATCTTTGCACAGTGGTAGTAGAATTTGGTCAAGTGCCACAAAGCTTTATACGGAGTTTTTCAAGCAATGGCCAACTAAGTTTTCAAACTGGATTGCAAATGAATGTTGTGTTCACCAGAGAAATCTTCTACAGCAAACTTGACATCACCCTCTTCTTTTTAAAAGCAAACTAAACAAAGGCTTAGGATCAATTGGTGCTCTGTGGGAGAGCAGCATCAAAAAGGCTGCCTGGACCAGGCAGGGCTGGGGAAATAGGTGATGGGTCTGGAATAGGCACCCAGAGCTACTGACAGCTGCTCCAAATGCACCATCCAGCACCAGGAGAAGCCTTGCTTTATTTTTTCAGTATTTTATCAATTTACTCTTTCTTATGCTAATTTCACCTTCAATACATATCCTCTCCTTCTTTTGATGTTTCTACTTCTTTCTTTCTTTGCACCTTCCCCTCCCTGATTGTCAGTTGAGCTATTTCCAGATGGCTTAGGGTCCTTTTTTTCAACCAACTGGTACCCAACCTGCCAACATCACAATAATTGTCTTTATTTTGCCCCAACTGCCTTTTCTTCAGGCCATCATCACAGCCGGTGGGTAAAGACTGACAAAGTGATTTCCTAAGGATTGCAGGGCAATGATGAACTGCCAGCCAAACCTGTTCTCCTTCAGGCAAAACTTCTTTGAAGGGACTTTAGAATTCCCATCATGGAAATGAAGAGATGTTGATGCAGATCAGGCTGTGAATGGATTTGGAAGGGGATAGGAAGCTCAGCTTGTAAAATGGGACACAAGAACCTTTCTTGCCACCAGAATTTTGGCATCATGTTAGCAATGTTCCACACTGGCAAGGTATTCCTACGAGAAGAGCTTCATCACCCCCTCATTTGCACACTTGTCCTGTTACTGGCACGCAGCCTGCTGTGCCCATCTGGGAGAGGAACTCACTGCCAGGCACACTGGGGAGAGGGGACTTCTCCTCCTCACCTGTCTCCATGCCGACATTCCATAGTGGGGTCCCAGGCTCTGAGGATGCTCCTTCTGGATGGACAAAGCTCAGGATGGCCCTTGTGGCACTGGGACCAAGCAGGGGTACCTGGGGGCTGCTACCAGAGACCAGTGTTGGCTCCCAGCACTCTCCCAGCCTTTCAAGAGGCCACTCTGCTGGCAGCATTATCAGGGTTCCAGCAAGTCTTTATTCAAGAAAAAGGAGATATGAAGATATTTTAGACAAGTTTGTCAGGTTTGTTATACCTTAGTCGTTACAGCATTATCAAAACTGGAGGATAAGTCAAGACATAGTTAAAAAATACACAAGAATATGTACTATAAGTGTTTCCACCCAAAATACAATGCTTCTTGCAGATACTTCCTCATGCGGCAAGGAAATGTACTAGACTTAGGCTGCAGTTCAGCTTCCAGCCAATTTGAATGGAAGTTGCTGCCAAGAAGGCAATTTGACACTCTCATTGCCCCTTCATTCCTGGCTGACTGTGACACCTCTTCTTTCTTCTAATGCTCATGCTCAGCAAAGCTGTGGCCTGAGTACTGCTCAAGCTGAAGAAAACATTTTTGGTCAGATTCAGGTTTCACGTGGATTCTGCCCCCTGCTCCAGCTCACCACAGGGCTGAACAAGTCCTGCAGAACAGCAGAGCAACCGAAGGAAGCCACCAGCCTTCAGTGAAAGCCCAAGTGTTTATGTCACCTTAGAGAAACTGTTGACCTGCAGCCCAAGGGCAGGTCTGCATCCCATTACAGACAGAGGCCCTAAAACTCCTGTTATTAGAGTCACTCTCTCAGCAATCCAATGACTAATTCTATATATAAAGAGGAGGAGCTCGAGGCACCAGAGACAGAGACTCATCATCTCAGACATGAGTCAGTTGATACGTGAGAGACCCAGTCTTTAGCCGTGACTTCAAACCTGGCTGAACAAGAATTAAACTCTAGGGAGCCCCAAATATAAGTGGCCCACTGCAGACTTGCACACCTCCTTTCTTATTCATTCTGAAAAAAAAAAAGTTGGAAAAAAAAAGGCAAAATTGCAACCCTTTCCTTGCCAGCAAGCACATGCATGTAAGTTAGCACAGCTAACCCCAAAGGGCAGCAGAATAGACCCTGACAGTCTTGCCTATACCAGCTGAACCACCCAAAGTTCAAGCACTTCTAGTTTTCACTTGAACTCTGATTTCTTTCATTCTTATCAGAGAGGCTTTATGCTCCAGTTCTTATGAAAAGAAATAAAAAATTGATGCCACAGCAATCCAACTCCTCTAGAGCTTTTCTGCTTATCTGAATTTTAATAGAATAATTTCCAGTTATTTTCTTCAGCAACACATAAGAAATACAAATCATGCATCTTCCTAAAGCAATGAAGTTCATGAAAATATTGAAGTTTAACAGGACTCAGTTTAACACTTACACATGACAAGAGGACCAAAGGACAAAATTGCAACTGGCTTTGCAGGAAGTCCTGGCCACAGGCTTAGGCTTTATACACATGTATCTGGTGTCACTCCATTTCACATCCCACAAAAACACAGGTTTTTCCCAAAAATTTTGTTTTCAAGCCCCAGTCCTACCACAAATAAAGATGAGCTTCTGGGCAATCATATAACTCTGTCTCCAAAGCTGTATTTTTTTGCTCTATCCCCCTTACAATCAGTGCCTGTGTTGGCTGTAAAAATCAGATTTGTTACTTGGTGTGCAACAGGCTGATAATTACACACTTGAGAGAGAAACATTGATTTTTTTATTCATTCCAGAGTTGTGCAAGCCTGGGTGTTCCACAGATCAAGCACACTGCTCCAGACTTTCCATGCCACTGTTTAGACACAGAATTTTAGTGCTTGTAACTTCCCAAGTATAGTCCCTCTATTATGACTGGTTAATAATTTCCATACAAATTACATGATCCCACCTAATTCCTATGCATGCTCAGGGGAAGGGTCTTCACCCAGGCAGGGGCCTTTTCAACTTGTAGGTGTGATTTTTAGTATTGTAATGAAGATAGTTCAGCTTTAGGATACACGGACCTTGAGTCTTTTGCCAAGTTGGCAATATATCTTGGTTTACTGTTAGCTCCAGGATGTCCCTGACCAAGGAATGTTAGCTGCTATCTGTTCCACCAATTAAGTCTCCTTTGTTGCTGACTAGGTTTGAAAGTATACAAAGATCACATATCGAAGAACTTCTTGACTTAAGAGAATTTTGATATATTCCACATTTTGCAGCACGTAGAGTCAAAATTTCCTGATTCTCAACATGAAAATAAATTATAACCACAGTGGTAATGTTAACTATTATCAGTTCTCTTATCTTACCCAGATTTCTTCCCAAGAAGATAAACCAGAAAAACAAACTCCAAAGCCTTTCCAAGACACAAATACCAAGGCAGCATCATAATTCTGCCATCCTGATTTCATCAGGAATCACATGTCCATAAGGACTGGAAAACAGCTTTGTACAGACACAGCCTAAACACATCAGAGTCTAAAATTAAGCTGCAAATGTAGCATGTGGTGTGGGAGACTGATTAAGAACCACTAGTCCTATATCAATGCCCATCTGCATGATAAATTCTTTCCCTGCTCTTCCAGTGCAAGGGGGGGGTATGATTTTACATGGGCATTTACAACATGTATTCAAATAGTCTCTAAAATCACCTTTCTATTGTGAAGTAAAGATTTCCATCTCTAAGATTTCTACTTAGTACCAACTATTCAGTATTTACTTTTGTCCACCTGTTTACAAGCACTGTAGTTTCCCAAACCCATTTTTTAAATGGCCACCTTTCCCCAGGCCATACAGAGAACCATTAATCCAAAAAATTAATTGTTTTTTCCTCTCTTTTTTTCCTGTTATTAGAACATAACCTCTTTCGGTGACCCTTTTAAAATATTTTTCTTGTTTAATGAGAGAATGCCACAAGGGCAAGCATGTATTAATATTAAAGAACCAATAAAGAAAAATCAAAATCATATTCATCATATTATCTATCATCTTTTTCCCTTTCTGGCAGTTGCACCAGGAGTGATGTCAGCAGGACTGAGCAGTAACTGAGGGAGAGGTAAATGCGGCAGTGGGAGGTCACAACCACCGACTCAGCTGAAAATCTTTCCAACTCTCTTGTGCAGAAATTCTCTCCAGGCTTCAGCCCAAGTTTTCTGAATTCTTCAAAATTCACTATATTGTCTGCTTTGGGCAATTTAGTTTGTATTTTTTTCTATCCAAATTCTGGCAATTACCACATTGTGGTGCTTCTGGCCCCTCTGCAATCTCCCGGAGAGGCTAAGACAACAGCAGGAGCAGCCACAGTGGGTGGTGAGGGCAGCATATGCCCAGGGAAGCGAACAACTGAGGCACTTTGATGAACTAAGGCAAGTAAAGCAGCATCAGGAATTCCAAGAGTTGGAAACTCACTGGCCATTTTTCTTATATTAATTGTCCTATTATAGTTCGTCTTTC